TCGGGTGTTGGCGCGGTGTTGTGCGGTTGGGGATCGGGTGTGTGCCGTGGATTACACTTGGGTTGGTGACGGCAGTGATGGAATGCTGGGAGTGGGGGAGGAGGACGAGTCTCAGCCTGTGTCTTCTGTGTCATCTCCATTCATTGCTCTGTGGGAAATGCGTCTCATACTAATCCTGCTGTATCACGCTGTGAGTGTCCCCAGGGGCCCCACCCTGACCATCTCCAGGAGCCAAACCCTTCCTGTCCCCTAAAGGCTTCACCCTGCCGGTCCCCTGAGGGCCCCACACTGCCTGTTCCTTGAGGGTGGCACTTTCTTTGTGCGGGGCCACTCCGACATCTCCAATCCCTGACAGGAAGCCGGCCACATACAATGTATGACGGAGGAAACATGTAGTAGGACGTACACGTATGTTACACTCCCGTCCTGTATGAGTATACGGCTGACATATATACACTCCATTGTCTCCATACAGGGAAGAGAATGAGGACAACTGGCCGGTGACAGAGATCCGGGAGGAGGCAGAATACACCACAGGGGTCCATGGCGGAGCGCTCCAAGGTAACACGCAGAATTCCTCATCCAGGATGTGATGGCGTCACACGTGTCTCCCATAGTGCCAGAGATTCACCACACCGGGCCCCGCACTCAGCCTTCAGGTGTCACCCGTGTGTAGGAACCGTCCATACACCGTCCGAGTTCTAGGCTCCCCCATCCCTGTGCTGAGTTCCCGGGTCTGTACACCCGCTGTGCCCCTTATGAGGGGCCCCCCCCATCCCTGTGCTGAGTTCCCAGGTCTGTACCCCCGCTGTGCCCATAATGAGGGGCCCCCCCATCCCTGTGCTGAGTTCCCAGGTCTGTACCCCCGCTGTGCCCATAATGAGGGGCCCCCCCATCCCTGTGCTGAGTTCCCAGGTCTGTACCCCCGCTGTGCCCATAATGAGGGGCCCCCCCATCCCTGTGCTGAGTTCCCAGGTCTGTACCCCCGCTGTGCCCATAATGAGGGGCCCCCCCATCCCTGTGCTGAGTTCCCAGGTCTGTACCCCCGCTGTGCCCATAATGAGGGGCCCCCCCATCCCTGTGCTGAGTTCCCAGGTCTGTACCCCCGCTGTGCCCATAATGAGGGGCCCCCCCATCCCTGTGCTGAGTTCCCAGGTCTGTACCCCCGCTGTGCCCATAATGAGGGGCCCCCCCATCCCTGTGCTGAGTTCCCAGGTCTGTACCCCCGCTGTGCCCATAATGAGGGGCCCCCCCATCCCTGTGCTGAGTTCCCAGGTCTGTACCCCCGCTGTGCCCATAATGAGGGGCCCCCCCATCCCTGTGCTGAGTTCCCAGGTCTGTACCCCCGCTGTGCCCATAATGAGGGGCCCCCCCATCCCTGTGCTGAGTTCCCAGGTCTGTACCCCCGCTGTGCCCATAATGAGGGGCCCCCCCATCCCTGTGCTGAGTTCCCAGGTCTGTACCCCCGCTGTGCCCATAATGAGGGGCCCCCCCATCCCTGTGCTGAGTTCCCAGGTCTGTACCCCCGCTGTGCCCATAATGAGGGGCCCCCCCATCCCTGTGCTGAGTTCCCAGGTCTGTACCCCCGCTGTGCCCATAATGAGGGGCCCCCCCATCCCTGTGCTGAGTTCCCAGGTCTGTACCCCCGCTGTGCCCATAATGAGGGGCCCCCCCATCCCTGTGCTGAGTTCCCAGGTCTGTACCCCCGCTGTGCCCATAATGAGGGGCCCCCCCATCCCTGTGCTGAGTTCCCAGGTCTGTACCCCCGCTGTGCCCATAATGAGGGGCCCCCCCATCCCTGTGCTGAGTTCCCAGGTCTGTACCCCCGCTGTGCCCATAATGAGGGGCCCCCCCATCCCTGTGCTGAGTTCCCAGGTCTGTACCCCCGCTGTGCCCATAATGAGGGGCCCCCCCATCCCTGTGCTGAGTTCCCAGGTCTGTACCCCCGCTGTGCCCATAATGAGGGGCCCCCCCATCCCTGTGCTGAGTTCCCAGGTCTGTACCCCCGCTGTGCCCATAATGAGGGGCCCCCCCATCCCTGTGCTGAGTTCCCAGGTCTGTACCCCCGCTGTGCCCATAATGAGGGGCCCCCCCATCCCTGTGCTGAGTTCCCAGGTCTGTACCCCCGCTGTGCCCATAATGAGGGGCCCCCCCATCCCTGTGCTGAGTTCCCAGGTCTGTACCCCCGCTGTGCCCATAATGAGGGGCCCCCCCATCCCTGTGCTGAGTTCCCAGGTCTGTACCCCCGCTGTGCCCATAATGAGGGGCCCCCCCATCCCTGTGCTGAGTTCCCAGGTCTGTACCCCCGCTGTGCCCATAATGAGGGGCCCCCCCATCCCTGTGCTGAGTTCCCAGGTCTGTACCCCCGCTGTGCCCATAATGAGGGGCCCCCCCATCCCTGTGCTGAGTTCCCAGGTCTGTACCCCCGCTGTGCCCATAATGAGGGGCCCCCCCATCCCTGTGCTGAGTTCCCAGGTCTGTACCCCCGCTGTGCCCATAATGAGGGGCCCCCCCATCCCTGTGCTGAGTTCCCAGGTCTGTACCCCCGCTGTGCCCATAATGAGGGGCCCCCCCATCCCTGTGCTGAGTTCCCAGGTCTGTACCCCCGCTGTGCCCATAATGAGGGGCCCCCCCATCCCTGTGCTGAGTTCCCAGGTCTGTACCCCCGCTGTGCCCATAATGAGGGGCCCCCCCATCCCTGTGCTGAGTTCCCAGGTCTGTACCCCCGCTGTGCCCATAATGAGGGGCCCCCCCATCCCTGTGCTGAGTTCCCAGGTCTGTACCCCCGCTGTGCCCATAATGAGGGGCCCCCCCATCCCTGTGCTGAGTTCCCAGGTCTGTACCCCCGCTGTGCCCATAATGAGGGGCCCCCCCATCCCTGTGCTGAGTTCCCAGGTCTGTACCCCCGCTGTGCCCATAATGAGGGGCCCCCCCATCCCTGTGCTGAGTTCCCAGGTCTGTACCCCCGCTGTGCCCATAATGAGGGGCCCCCCCATCCCTGTGCTGAGTTCCCAGGTCTGTACCCCCGCTGTGCCCATAATGAGGGGCCCCCCCATCCCTGTGCTGAGTTCCCAGGTCTGTACCCCCGCTGTGCCCATAATGAGGGGCCCCCCCATCCCTGTGCTGAGTTCCCAGGTCTGTACCCCCGCTGTGCCCATAATGAGGGGCCCCCCCATCCCTGTGCTGAGTTCCCAGGTCTGTACCCCCGCTGTGCCCATAATGAGGGGCCCCCCCATCCCTGTGCTGAGTTCCCAGGTCTGTACCCCCGCTGTGCCCATAATGAGGGGCCCCCCCATCCCTGTGCTGAGTTCCCAGGTCTGTACCCCCGCTGTGCCCATAATGAGGGGCCCCCCCATCCCTGTGCTGAGTTCCCAGGTCTGTACCCCCGCTGTGCCCATAATGAGGGGCCCCCCCATCCCTGTGCTGAGTTCCCAGGTCTGTACCCCCGCTGTGCCCATAATGAGGGGCCCCCCCATCCCTGTGCTGAGTTCCCGGGTCTGCGCCCCCAGAACCAGAGTGGGGGGAAGTCTGTGCTGGTGGGATCAGATACAGAAGCTCGGTAATTAGAATGAATCTCCTTCTGTTTTAGGATTCGGGGTCAGAAGGGTCAGATGATGAGGTCATCTGGGAGAAACCGGTCAGCGATTGGACGGTGCAGGATGTTTGCTCCTGGCTCCAGTATGGACCCCTACAGAACAGCACCGGGCTTGTCCAGTCAGCTTACACTCATAACATCTCAGGTAATTCCTCCTCCTGCACCCTGCGGTCATATCCTCTGTATGGGGGGGGGGGGCAGTGATGGGTCACATGACCTGGCAGCCACGGGCTTGTGTACCGCCAGTATCATTCTCAGGATACAATCATAAGGTAGATAGATGGATGAAAGTCACATGATCCAGAGGAGGTCATATTCCCCAGTCTTCAGTCCTCCAATGTTTGGGATCCGGTGCCTCCTGTGGCCTCATTCCCCAGTCTTCAGTCCTCCAATGTTGGGGATCCGGTGCCTCCTGTGGCCTCATTCCCCAGTCTTCAGTCCTCCAATGTTGGGGATCCGGTGCCTCCTGTGGCCTCATTTTCCTGCTCTTAGCTGACAGGAAGGAGCCCGGCATGATGTTTGGCTGCCGCAGTCCATCCTCTTCCAGGTTCTCCTTGTTGGGTGTTCAGAGACATCTGTCATTACAGCACTGGGCAGCTGTGGACGCCCTCTCTGCCCGGCCCGGCGCCATCCCGATGCTCTCCTGTAATCCTGACCCACATGGATGTCTGACATCAGGAACCTGAGAAACCCGAAATGTTCCTCCAGAGGATCTCAGAGGTTCCTTGGGCTACGGCTGATGGACCTCCCATCGTAAGAAGAAAGGGGCGGGATTCTGACCACCAATGTGAGGGACATTCTTCCCCGGGCCGGATCAGGAGCAATCACGGGCCTGGCGCTGACGAGTTCGGTGGCCCTTTTATTGACATGGAGACGGTCACCGGGGGCCCCGCTTCCTCCTGTCCGGGGTGTGATTTGTAGTCTCTCTACAGCTTGGAGTCATTGGTGGAGCTCCGGGGCCCGGCTGCAACTGTGAGCCTGGTAGGTCTGCCACTGACTGAGTTGTAGAGGGACTACAACTCCCATCAATACATTATACAGCAATGCAGAATACCACCAGCTATAGAGGACTACAACTCCCAGCAATACATTATACAGCAATGCAGAATACCCCCAGCTATAGAGGACTACAACTCCCAGCAATACATTATACAGCAACGCAGAATACCACCAGCTCTAGAAGACTACAACTCCCATCAATACATTATACAGCAATGCAGAATACCACCAGCTATAGAGGACTACAACTCCCAGCAATACATTATACAGCAATGCAGAATACCCCCAGCTATAGAGGACTACAACTCCCAGCAATACATTATACAGCAACGCAGAATACCACCAGCTCTAGAAGACTACAACTCCCATCAATACATTATACAGCAATGCAGAATACCACCAGCTATAGAGGACTACAACTCCCAGCAATACATTATACAGCAATGCAGAATACTATGAATCTATATACTCTGTGCTGCTCCGGGGTCTCAATAGGCTGTTCAGGCTCTAAGGTGGTCAGTCCCAGCGGGTCCAGTCATGTCAGGTCAGTCCCGGCGATCAGGTCAGTCCCAGCGGGTCCAGTCAGTGTCAGGTCAGTCCCAGCGGGTCCAGTCAGTGTCAGGTCAGTCCCAGCGGGTCCAGTCAGTGGGCGGTCAGTCCCAGCGGGTCCAGTCAGGTCAGTCCCAGCTCACGTGGGGAGAGGTCCCCTGCCAGGTTGGGTGGCGGTTAGAGATGTGACATCATGTGACGACTCTCTGTGGCTCCTCCCCCCAGGCCGCGCTCTGCTGAGGCTCTCCGACAACCTGCTGCAGCGGATGGGGATTCATCAGGAGAGTCGGCGCCGGATCATTCTGGTGGAAGTTCTGGAGCTGAAACTGCAGCAAGAGTTACAGCAACTGCTGCTCATCACTGAAGGTGACCGAGGGTGACCGAGGATGAGGGTGGGGGTGACTGAAGGTGACCGAGGGTGGGGGTGACTGAAGGTGACCGAGGGTGGGGGTGACCGAGGGTGGGGGTGACTGAAGGTGACCGAGGGTGGGGGTGACCGAGGGTGGGGGTGACTGAAGGTGACCGAGGGTGGGGGTGACCGAGGGTGGGGGTGACTGAAGGTGACCGAGGGTGGGGGTGACCGAGGGTGGGGGTGACTGAAGGTGACCGAGGGTGGGGGTGACCGAGGATGAGGGTGACGGAGGATGAGGGTGACGGAGGATGAGGGTGACGGAGGATGAGGGTGACGGAGGAAGAGGGTGACGGAGGAAGAGGGTGACGGAGGAAGAGGGTGACGGAGGAAGAGGGTGACCGAGGATGAGGGTGACGGAGGATGAGGGTGACGGAGGATGAGGGTGACGGAGGATGAGGGTGACGGAGGATGAGGGTGACGGAGGATGAGGGTGACGGAGGATGAGGGTGACGGAGGATGAGGGTGACGGAGGATGAGGGTGACGGAGGATGAGGGTGACGGAGGATGAGGGTGACGGAGGATGAGGGTGACGGAGGATGAGGGTGACGGAGGATGAGGGTGACGGAGGATGAGGGTGACGGAGGATGAGGGTGACGGAGGATGAGGGTGACGGAGGATGAGGGTGACGGAGGATGAGGGTGACGGAGGATGAGGGTGACGGAGGATGAGGGTGACGGAGGATGAGGGTGACGGAGGATGAGGGTGACGGAGGATGAGGGTGACGGAGGATGAGGGTGACGGAGGATGAGGGTGACGGAGGATGAGGGTGACGGAGGATGAGGGTGACGGAGGATGAGGGTGACGGAGGATGAGGGTGACGGAGGATGAGGGTGACGGAGGATGAGGGTGACGGAGGATGAGGGTGACGGAGGATGAGGGTGACGGAGGATGAGGGTGACGGAGGATGAGGGTGACGGAGGATGAGGGTGACGGAGGATGAGGGTGACGGAGGATGAGGGTGACGGAGGATGAGGGTGACGGAGGAAGAGGGTGACGGAGGAAGAGGGTGACGGAGGAAGAGGGTGACGGAGGAAGAGGGTGACGGAGGAAGAGGGTGACGGAGGAAGAGGGTGACGGAGGAAGAGGGTGACGGAGGAAGAGGGTGACGGAGGAAGAGGGTGTCGGAGGATGAGGGTGACGGAGGATGAGGGTGACGGAGGATGAGGGTGACGGAGGATGAGGGTGACTGAGAATGAGGGTGACGGAGGATGAGGGTGACTGAGGGTGTCCAAGAAATAGAGTGACCGAGGATGAGGGTGACCGAGGATGAGGGTGACGGAGGATGAGGGTGTCCAAGAATGAGGGTGACGGAGAATGAGGGTGACGGAGAATGAGGGTGACGGAGGATGAGGGTGACGGAGGATGAGGGTGACGGAGGATGAGGGTGACGGAGGATGAGGGTGACCAAGAATGAGGGTGACGGAGGATGAGGGTGTCCAAGAATGAGGGTGACGGAGGATGAGGGTGTCCAAGAATGAGGGTGACGGAGGATGAGGGTGTCCAAGAATGAGGGTGTCCAAGAATGAGGGTGACGGAGAATGAGGGTGACGGAGAATGAGGGTGACGGAGGATGAGGGTGTCCAAGAATGAGGGTGACGGAGGATGAGGGTGTCCAAGAATGAGGGTGACGGAGAATGAGGGTGACGGAGGATGAGGGTGACGGAGGATGAGGGTGACGGAGGAAGAGGGTGACGGAGGAAGAGGGTGACCGAGGATGAGTATAATGGCGGGTGAACAGACCTGTGGTGAGTTATGGAATCTGAGGTCCGCTCTGCGTTGATCTAGAACAGGAGATATTTGTCATTACAGAATGAAGCCGGCGGATCCGACCAATCACAGCACTGAACCCGGAGATACAAAGTGTTTATGTTACAAGGTTTCGAATGAGGAAGAGTCCAGCGCCGGTCCAATCTGCAGCATGTCGCTGGTTCCGGGTGACGCGGGATTACAGTCCATTCTGCAGCATGTCGCTGGTTCTGGGTGACGCGGGATTACAGTCCATTCTGCAGCATGTCGCTGGTTCCGGGTGACGCGGGATTACAGTCCAGGAATGGGATGAGGAATTGTGGGACATCAGAGACGAGATGGATCTCACGTGCGGCTTCCTCAGGACGGGTCACCTGACCCCTCAGCTCTCTGCGCCGCGTGACGTCGGCGTGTTTGGTATCTCAGTGATTGGTATGTTCTGATCCATTTGGATCAGGAGAAGAGCGGGAGCGCTGCGGATGGATGAAAATGGCGGCTTCAGGTCGGGCCGAGCCGGACTTCACATCTTCCACCATCCCGGGAATGTTCTCCGTTCATTCTCTTGTTAATAAAGTTTTCATTTTGTTACAGAAGCAACGCGTATAATGACATTGTTACCAATTGTCATCGGGGTGATGGGAGGAAGTCATGTGACATTAGATTCTGGATAGAAAACCTTTAATTTCACATAACTTTATTGCTATAACACGGTGTGGGGGGGGGAGGGGCATTTGATGATGTATGTAACACACAGGTAGATCATATACTGGCACGGTGTGGCCCCTGAAATGCCCGGGGCCGTGCCTGTCATAAAGGTGCCACCATTACCCTGACCTGAAGATTGTACAGACATGTGGGGGGACACTCAGCTACCGGCAGCCGCAGGAACTCCCTTCATTGTCAGACCAAACCAATCGATCCCTACAATCCCCGAACGGAGCAAAGACCAATGAGGAGGATCAGTAATCTATCAATGCAATATGGGGGGAGGGGCACACAGGGGCAGAACATAGGAGCCATATTGGGGCCTTTATCAGATGGACACAGAGGGGCGTGAATCTCGGGGCAATACATTGTATCAGTCGTGTGAATGTCATAAACTGTGTGAGAAGAATCCAGTCAGAGGATACATTGTATATATACATGAGTGTGGGGGAGGGGAGACTGAGGAAATGAGAGCGAGGGTGAGGAGAGATGTCCTTGGAAATGGGAGTGCGGAGGTCGGGGGGGGGGAAGGATGATGAGATTGCTCCTCATCC